GTCAAATTTACTTCCCACTGAGGCACAGAGGCACACGCTCTCTTCAACCTCTTTTTGACTGCCTGGCTAACGTCCAGGACTGGATTGCTTTAAACTTCTTAAGTTTCAACAAGAAGAAGTCTGAAGTCGTCTTGTTCCATCCCAGTGGCATGTTCATGCATTGACCTTTTCTCTTTAGCTCCGTTAGAGAAACAAAGAGTCACCAATTTGGGAGTGATAATGGACCCCTCCCTGAAACTTAACAGTCACGTAAACATGATTGTTAAGTCCTGTTTTTTTCAGCTGAGACAGCTGTCTAAGCTGAAGCCCATACTAACCAAAAAGAATCTTGAGACAGTGATCCATGCATTCATAACATCCAGGCTCGATTATTGCAATGCGCTTCTGTTTGGAATCAGTCAGTCCTCCATTGCACGTTTACAACTAGTCCAAAATGCTACAGCCCGATTTTTAACTGGTACAGACCATAGAGAGCACATTACTCCAGTTTTGGCCTCCCTCCATGGCTACCCATTCACCTTCGTATCCAGTTCAAAATACTCATGTATGTTTTTAAATCACTGAACAGTTCTGCCCCATCCTATCTCACTGTTCTTCTACAGCCATATGTCCCATCGCGCTCTCTGAGGTCAGCAGACCAGATTCTCCTTTCAGTTCCAGAAACCCGTCGCAAGCTCAGAGGTGACAGGGCTTTCTCTGTTGCAGGTCCAAGACTGTGGAATGAGTTGCCACTGCGTGTCAGGCAGTCTCCCACACTCACAGTCTTTAAGTCTCGCCTGAAAACTCACTTTTATTCCCTTGCCTTTGACGTGATGTGATTTGTTTTGATCCTGTCTGTGATCCACAGTGTTGACCATTTAATTATCTGCTGCAATTAGTGTCGGGGTGTAAAGGTACGCTAAAATCACATTTCGGTTCAATTTCAAGGAGGCTTGGTTCGGTTAATTTTCGGTACAAAAAAAAAAGACAAAATGAAGACTTACAAAATATTTATTGTGAAAATATGCCAAGTAAACAATACTGAAGTGTTGACATGATGGGATGTTGTAGCGGGGCTCAATAACTTTATAGCCGGTGCATCAACAACAGAAACTTAGATCCAGAGCTTTAAAAACTCCTACAGCTTGTGTTATTGCTCTGGACCGATCTGAATCACTTGATGAAGGTTGTTTAAATACTGCTGTTATTGGTCTTTGCACCAAGTTGCAAGAAGAGACGTTCGCGTACGGATGATGTTGTTTCAAGCGCGTTAACAAGTTAGACGTGTTGCCTGTTGCAGATCCAACCTCCATGAAACAACGTTGACACACAGCTTTGGATTTACACTTGTCTTTTAACAAGAAAGCCACAATGTTCCCAAACAGGAGACTGCAACGGGATGCTAGTAGGCTGCTAGTAGGCTGCTAATGCTAGCGTGCTGCAAGATAATAGCGCCGTGCTGAAACACATTTAGGAATTTTAGTTACGCGGCGCATACTCTCTCGTTAATAAAATTTAATGAGTACCGAAACGGTTCAGTAAACCCACGTGTACCGTTGCACCCCTAATTTGTATCTATATTTTTATCTTGCGTTTTCCTGTTCGCTGTGCTTGTTTGTTTGTATTGTACAGCACTTTGGTTGGCCTTGTTGCAGTTTTAAGTGCTCCATAAATAAATTGGTATGGTATGGTAATCAAAGTGGCATTACAGTGATTTTTTTTTTTTACAGTGATTATCCTGGTTAGGGATTTGTGAGTCTAACAGCTTCAGGGTATAAACTGTTCCTCAGTCTAATAGTTCTACACTTCATCATTCTCAACCTCCTGCCTGAGGGGAGCGGGGCAAAAAGTGTGTGTGCTGGGTGAGTGGGGTCCATCGTGATGCAGACGGCCCTTTTCCTGCATCTGGAGGTGTAGATGTCTTTAATGGTGGGGAGGCTGACTCCAACAGTCTTCTGTGCAGCCTTCACCCTCTGCAGAGCTTTCTTTTCTGCAGCTGTGCATCCTCCATGCCACACGTTGATGCTGGAGCACAGGATGCTCAACACACAGCCTTGAGGGGAGCCAGTGCTGAGGGTTATGGTGGAGGAAGAGAAGTTGTGAATCCTCACTGACTGCAATTTGTTGGTTAAGTCCAGGACGCAGTTGCGTAGGGAGTGACTTAGTCCAAGTGTGAGTAATTTGTCCATCAGTGTATGGGGAATCATGGTGTTGAATGCGGATGTGAAGTCCACAAAGAGCATACGGACGTAGGAGTCCTACTCCAGGTGGGTGAGAGCAGTGTTGACCACAGAGAAGATGGCGTCCTCTATTAATCTATTCTTGTGATATGCATACTGGTGTGCGTCCTCGCTGATGTTGATGGGAGCTTTGATGTGGGCCATGATGACCAGTATTTCAAAGCATTTAGCTCTATCATCCATGATATTTACATATACAGAAATATATTTTTAAACTTTTATTTAAATATGTACTAATAAATACACAAAATACTTGACTGACTGCTTTAAAATTACATTTGACTCAACTTCTGTGCCACAGAGCCCACATGACTCAGATGGGGAATACCCCCGTCCCGTACTTTGCTCTGCTCTCCATTTCATGTGTTCAGATGTGAGCTTAAAATTAGATATTTAAACACATATTTACACAAAAAGATGGGAGTAGTGGCACAGAGGTTAGAGGAGGTGGGCCGGTAATCCGAAGATCGCTGGTTCATCTCCTGGTACCAACAACATCAAAATGTGGGTGGGAAAGTTGAAGCACCCACACCTGCCTCCATCCTCATTTGCCCCACCCTGGGCCCTTGAGCAAGGCCGTTAACCCCCACCATCTGCTCCCCTGGTCACCCTAGATGGCAGCTCTCTGCTTCACACAGAGGTCTGTGGTAGCTCGGTGGTCTATGGTTGTGTCAGGAAGGGCATCCGGCATGAAAATTGTCAAGTCTTTGTGTGACGTAGCTCACTGTGGTGACCCCTGAAGAAGGGAGCAGTCGAAAGAACAAAATGTACACAGAAAGATGTCACACAGAAAGAATTTTAAAACTTTTATTTAAATATATACCAGTACAGTACATACAGAAATATGCCGGTAAATGTTTTTTTCTGAACAATGCCTTTAACACAGCTGGTCTAAAAAAAAGAAAAGGACCTGTAGCTGACCAGAAGTGACTCATCTTTTGTCGCTTATCTTTTTTTTTTTTTTGTACCTTTTTTTTTACCGGAAACAGGTAGCCTCATTAATGCACGTCTATCTTGGGGAATGGGTCATCGTGACTCAGTGAGAGTACCATATTGGTCATTCAGGTTCGCCTTCTGGTCACATGGTCACAGAGTGGAATTATGGGTATTTAGTAGCAAAATTGAAACCATGAGCAAGAGGTACATGTCATGAACACCTGTCGCGTTCACTCTGTCTAACAAAAATCTGCCCCCAGGAGGCGTGGGTGTCGGGCAGCTATATGAGCGCCCAGGTGTGTCAAAGAGAAATGTTATTCAGCAGCAGTAAGCTTGGCAACCTGTCAAAATATAATATTTAAATTAAAAAGTAGTTTTGGGTTGTGACTGAGAGATCTCCCTTAGAGATAGGATGAAAAGCTCTGTCATCTGGGAGGGACTCAGAGTAGAGCCGCTGCTTCTCCATGTCGAGAGGAGCCAGTTGAGGTGACTCAGGCATCTGGTTAAAATGCCTCCTGGATGCCTCCATGGTGAGGTTTTCCGGACACGTCCCACTGGGAGGAGACCCAGAGGATGACCCAGAATGCACTGAAGGGACTATGTTTCGCGACTGGCCTGAGAATGCCTTGGGATTCTCCAGGAGGAGCTGGCCCAAGTGGCTGGGAAGAGGGAAGTCTGGGCCTCCCTATTTAGGCTGCTAGAAATGATAAAGCCGATAAATGGAAATGAGGTAAATCATTTTCATTTATCATGCGATTAATTGATTTATTGTTTATCGTAACAGACCTAATCTGCAGTGTTTTTGTATTAGAGTGTAGAACTATGTATAAGTCCAGAAAAACAAAAGATTCCACAAGCAAATAAGTTACTCCAGTTACCAGCAGAGAAAACAGGAAGTGACACAATATGCCTTAGAATGAAAGTCCATCAACAGCAAACTGCCACCAAAATACCAAGAAAAAACACCTAAAACTATTTAAACAGGCATCTGTTCTAGAATGTCCACTCCAGTTTTTGTTCCTTTAAATTTCATGACTAATCCCACCTTTAAATCCAACCAAACTTTCCCAGCTTAAAAAAGGGTCAAGTCATGTTGAATGTTTTGCCTTCTAGGATCATGGGGGAGTCAGGTCTGAGCAGTGTTTCCCCTACCATTATACAAGCTGGGTGCCCCGTCAACAGAACCGAGCACCCGGTCTACTAAACCGTGCCCACCCACCTGTCGGCACTGATGTAATGCTAAGCTAGCGGCTCACAATACAGCTGTGCTAGACAAAAACCTAAAGGCAGCCTCTTCACGCATGCTGAACCCTCACACTGAACCCCGCCCCTCGCACGCACACACACGCACACTCCAAAACTGTAAAACTTTCGGTACAAACAACGTGCGGCTCAGATCAGATGTGTCTCCTCCTCCCCCTCCCGCAGTGAGCTTCGCAGCTCAGGACGTTTCTCAGTCTGTCTATCCCTGGGTTGTTGCTCTTAATATTGTGTTATTGTATGCAACAGATAAATAGATGAAAAACAAAGTTCAGTTGTTGAAGATTATGCTCTCTCCTCATCGCCTGCTTTAAATCCAGTCATTCCTTTTCTCATGAACAGGCCCAGCATCTTACTTGTATAGGTTTAGTCAGCATTCATGATTGCCAGTTAGACTGAACTGTCAAAGTTGTGCCACTTGCCACTCACCCCATAGTACATAAAGTATTAAATCCATCCTGTTGTCCTCTAATTTTCCCTCAAATCACACACGCAAGGGTCAGTGTCCTTTCATGACTACCTAAACCCTTTTGGATCTCATGCTTTTTTGTCTTTGCTTGTCTCCCCCCCCCTCCCCATGCACAGCCACATGTGAGGCTCAGAGACGTCGGTCTGTGCAGGATCTGCCCGCCATTGGCACAGAGTCCAACCAGGTAAGACAGACAACCACCCAAAGTAAAGGCAGAGTCTACAGGTGCATCTAAAAAAAATAGAATACTGTGATATTATTATTTTTTTGTCAGTCTTTTCAGAAAGTGAACTTCATGTAGTACATAGACTCATTCCACATAGTAAACAAAATTCAGCGTCTCAGAAAATTTGACTATTACATGCAATACATTAGAATATTACATATTATATTTTGGTACCTTTGACAGTGTGTGCAGGTCCTGTGTCCTGCTGGAAAATAAAATCATCATCTTCATAAAGGTCATTTTTTAGGATGTGTAAAGGCACAAAATTAACAAGGCTTTTGTAGAAAACAAATTTTCTGAGTTGACAATATCTCACCTGGTTGCAATTACAATTTAAACTTGGAGTGTATACTGTAGACTTGTATTAGCTTGGACTTCCGCCAGTACTGCCTGAAAATTGCCTTTCATGAAGATATTTTTGCTACCTTTGCGTTGGATGCTCCAGTATTCAACATTGTTGTGTGACTGACTCAGCAAAGCTGAAGAATGGTGACAGAATTGAAGAAATATAAGTATTATATATAAGTATACTACTGACTATATTTACAAAAAAGCCAGACAGCATCTCCACCTTCTATGTAAGCTAAGAAGCTTTATTGTAATCAAAATTACTTTGCAGTTAGTGTACAGATCACTGGTCGAAAGTGTTGTTTCCTTTAATATTGTCTCATGGTATGGGAACCTCCTAGCCAGGGACAGGAACAAGTTGTCCCAACAAGGTAGTAAAGTCATCAACAAATGAAACATAAATGATGGAGGTGCACATAGACGCAGCGACCCGGAGGTCCAACACCCGGCACAATTTTTGCACGATATGGATGATACTTTGCATTTTCTTGTACATATTTGATGCAGTAGCACTACAGTACAGCCATGCTGAACTTGTTCAGCTCAACACAGGAATTACATACCAGCTATCAAACGAGTACTCTATTCCAGCTGAGCTCGTCAGACCATCTTACGGGATCTCCGCAACAGAAGGCTGTAGAAGAAAACGCTGTGAGCGGAAAAACAAGAGAGGCAAGCAGGGGGTTATGTGGGCTAGGCTAAAGGCTAGCCTGTTCAAGCTGCCACTTCCCACCATATTTCTCTCCAATACCCGATCAATCCTTCACAAGATGGATGGAATTCGATTGCAGATAACATCGACAAGGGCCATGCGCGACCGTTGCTGCATGATATTTACGGAGACCTGGCTAGAAAGCACCATCCCAGATGCGGCTATTGTGCTAGCTGGCTTCACCGCATACCGAGCCGACAAAACCCCGGACTCAGGTAAGAAGATCGGCGGAGGTCTGTGTGTTTACATCAACAACTACTGGTCTACAAAGTTGCTATGATGGACAAACTGTGTAACCCATATGTGGAGGTTATGCTGCTCAAATGTAGACCGTTCTATGTACTGAAGGAGTTCACAGCTGTTTACATATATGCTGTGTACATCCCACCAGATGCTAATGCAAAGCTAGCGTTGGGACACTTATACGACAACATAAACAATAGTTTGACAGCCCACCCAGACAGTGTTTTTATAGCAGCAAGGGACTTCAACCACGCTGACTTAAAAACTGTTTTCCCTAAATTCCACCGCACCGTGAAATGTGCATCTAGCGAAATAAGACTCTAGACCAGGTTTACCCTCACCTGGACCTATCAGACCATCTTTCTCTCCTCCTACACCCACGGTACAGACCTAAAATTAAAACGGCTAACACCACTGTCAAAACTGTTAGATCATGGCCCCCAGATGCTATTCATAAGCTACAGGACTGTTTCCACCACACAACCTGGGATACATTTAAAGATCAGAGTATACCCACTCGAGTCCTTAAATGAATACACCGTAACGGTGTTGACCTACATCAACTTTTGTGTGGACTGTGTAACATCCTGGAAACGGGTCTGTATTTTACCCAATCAAAAGCCTTGGATGACACACAAGGTACTGTAACTAGACACACAAGGTACTGTAACTACTGAGAGCCAGGGATGCAGCATTTAGAAAAGGGGACTCTCAGGCTTATGGCATGGCCAGGACTGCTCTAAGGAAGGGTATAATTGCTGCAAAATTACACCATTCTAAGTAATTGCAGGATGGCTTAAACAACTCAGACCCAAGACAGGTGTGGGAGAGTGTCAAGGTCATTACAGACTATAAAAGAGCAGCATCTTCCCCAGTAAATAGTAGTGCCACTTTGGCTGAGGAATTAAATCACTTCTATGCTCGCTTTGACAGGGAAAATACAGATTTCCCCTTGCCTCCTTGCCACTCTAGGGACACTGCCCCTGTCCTGAGCATGCACGAAGGGAGAATTGCTCTTCGAAACATCAACCCCAGGAAGGCACCTGGACCAGATGGGGTGCTGGGTAGGGTGCTGAGACACTGTACGGATGAGCTGGCAGATGTTTTTACATCAATCTGCAATATGTCGTTGTCCACTTCATATGTGCCGGCCTGCTTTAAAGCAGCTGTAATAGTCCCCATCCCCAAACTGTCTAATATTACATGCCTAAATGATTATAGACCTGTGGCACTCACCCCCATACCAGCTAAATGCCTAGAGAGACTAATCATCAAATACTTAAATAAATCTATACCACCAAACACTGGACACTTATAAATTTGCATACAGAGAGAACAGATCAACAGAAGACGCCATTGCTATTATGGTCCACAAACTTGTGGAACATTTAGAGCTCAAGAACAAATATGCTAGGCTGCTCTTTGTCGATTTTATAACACTATGCAGTCGAACAAACTCCTACCAAAGTTACATGATCTTGGACTGAACAACACTCTATGCAATTGGAGCTTGGACTTTTTAACAAACCGCACAGTGTGTGAGAATGGGCAAGCACACCTCCTCCACTCTTTCCGTCAGCACGGGGGCCCCACAAGGCTGGTGCTCAGCCCAGCACTTTATACTCTCCTCACTCACAGCTGCACAGCCTCTTCACCATCAAATCGCATACAGAGCCGAAGTACAACAATTGGTATTGTGGTGTCACAACCACCACCTGGTTCTTAACATAAAGAAAACCAAGGAAATTATTGTAGATTTTCACAAACAAAACAAAAACATCCACTCTCCACTTCACATCAGAAAAGAAGTGGTTGAGGGGGTCGCAAAATTCAAACTTCTGGGTGTGACAGTGACAGAGAACCTGACCTGGGGTACTAACAGTGCCTCGGCTATCGGAAAATCCCAGCAGCATCTTTTCTTTCTGAGGAAACTGAAATGGGCCAAAATTCCTCAGCAGCTTATGATCAACTTCTACAACCGTGCTATTGGAAGTGTATTAACCTATGGATTCCTAGTGTGGTTCTCCAGCTGCACTAAGGCAGACCAGCAGGCTTTTCAGCAGGTGGTTAAATCAGCTGGGAAGATAATCGGGATTACTCTCCCAAAGATCAAAACTATCTATACAACCTGCTGTCTGAGACGAGTCAACAACATCCTGCGGGACAGGTACCATCTTGCACATGGCCTTTTCCACCTGCTACCCTCAGACAGAAGGTTCCGGTCCATAGGTGCCAGGACTACCAGAATGGCTCACAGTCTGTACCCACAAGCTGTGAGACTGTTAAATGAACAGCATCTCTCTGTAATCCCACCCACTATCCTTACATCTCAAATCTCATTATGACAATAACTGTGAAGTGGATATTGCATTGCTGCAGCAACCAACTACTACCTTTCAACATCTGGCTGTTTACGGTTTTCCCTTCTTCTGTCTTGAGCTTAGATGCTGTATTATCTGTGTTAACATTGATCATCAGAACCTTGCAAAGTTCTTTCGTACCACTATGTGTTGGACGACATCACAAGCTTAGACCCTGGGGAGGGGTCTCGTCGCTGAGTGAGCTAAGTGAACAAAGTGAACTCATCTAACCTTTTATTATAGGTCTTCCATTTTAGCTTGGGTGGGGATCTTTTTAGGAATAGATGCATAAATAAATACTATTTTCATAATCTTCTGGTGTGTAGTGATTGTTTGATGGTTCTGACATTCTAGGCAAGATCTTCTGCCTGTTTGACCCACAAATTTATTACAATATTCACGAGTCTAACAGCCTCAGGGTAGAAGCTGTTTGTCAGTCTAGTGATTCTACACTTAATGCTCCTTAACCTCCTTCCTGAGGGGAACGGGGCCAAAAGTGTGTGTGCTGGGTGAGTGGGGTCCTTCGTGATGCAGGTGGCCCTCTTCCTGCATCTAGAGGTGTTAAAGTTTGTGATGGTGGAGAGAATGACTCCAACAGACTTCTGTGCAACCATCACCACACTCTGCAAAGCTTTTCTTTCTGCAGCTGCGCAGCCTCCATGCCACACATTTATGCTGGAGCACAGGATACTCTCCACTGCACACCTGTAGAAGGAGGTGAGGACTGAGCCTCTCAGACCAGCTCATCTCAGCCACCTGAGGAAGTAGAGTCTCTAATGAGCTTTCTTGATCAGGCTGGTAGTGTTGTTGCCCCAGCTGAGGTTGTCATTCAGGTGTACACCTAAGTACTTGTAGCTGGAGACCACTTCCACCGCAGATCCTCTTATTTTCAGTGGGGTGTAGGTGTGTTTGTTCCTTCTGAAGTCCACGATCATCCCTTTTGTCTTCTTCACATTGATGTAAAGGTTATCCTCTTTGCACCAGCTATCCAGGTGTTCCACCTCCTGCCTGTAGCTGTACTCATCATTGTTTGTGATGTATCCCACCACCGCTGTATCATCTGCAAACTTTACAATATGACAGCCTGGATGGGTAGCTGCACAATCATATGTGAGCAGAGTGAATAGGAGAGGGCTCAGCACACATCCCTGAGGAGAGCCAGTACTAAGGGTTATGGTGGAGGAGGAAAAGTTGTGGATCCTCACAGACTGAGGTCTGTTTGTTAAGAAGTCTAGGACCCAGTTGCAAATGGAGGGGCTTAGTCCTAGTGTGAATAGTTTGTCCATTAGGGTTTG